TGAGAATTACAAGCTGGGACTTGTAGTTTTCTTGTAGCAGACAGGACTTGTAGTTTTCCCATTCACAGATTCCTGTGAATGAATTAATTGGCTGTGTCAGCGGAGCCCCACACAACTGCTTAATTTTTGAAAAGTGACAACGGCTGCTGGGAGAAGAACCCCTGCCTACTGTCACAGGGAAGGGGGGTGAGGGAGAGGATGCTGAACATGTTACATGTTACACCCCAAATACAGGTGTAACATGTGACATGTTCAGAAGGTGAACTTATGCTTTAAGGGCCCCTAAATATAAATTACAAGGGGATATTTCTGAAGCAATATATAATGACATTATCAAAAGATACATGCTGTCTTTGGGAGGTTGGAAAAACTATAGATAATGTTTCCTACATGACATTTCTGAGTTAATCGCTGAGCACCAGTGCTGTCACATGGCTTGAGTTGCATACTCCTTTCTCCCCAGAAGTAGCAAGTATTTTCATCATTCCCAGCAGCTGAACTGGGCATTAAAGAAAATCTGTTGTCTTGCCTTTATTAACAAAGCATAGGTTGCTTTAAATCAGAGGACCTTCTACCCCTATTAACACGTTTGGCTACATTAATGCAATCATTTTAGTAAAGAATAAAGTTAGTAGTACTTACCTGTCTCCTTCTTACCTCCTTCTTGTTTCCCCAGTTTAAGCATTCTGTCCCCACTGCCAGTGGGAATTCTGCACCACCATCAAAAAAACCACCATAGCTTCTCTTTCTTATTCTTTGCTGATCCACAGAGGATGCTTGCATATCATCTGGTGCATATCACTTTACACTAATCTGTTTAAAAAAAAGACTCCCCTTACCCCCTGACGTCTCATCCAATTTGACAAAATTTTGCAAGATCTTGGGAGGAAAGGGCTTTTTTTTTTCAACAGTTGAATGCAATGTCATACAGCACACATGCCAGATGAAGCACAAATTTCATGTGCTTATACTTGCACATGCAACATTGCAATCATCTGCTGAAAAAAATAAAACATTTTCCATCTAGGACATTGGGGGCAGGAAACTAAATTTTCCCAAAAGGCAGGGATATGTCAACAGTGCCCGCAGGGATCATGAAGTTGATTCAAATAAATTGTAGGTTTCTCAAGAAAATATTTTTATTTAATGTTAAATGGAAGGTGTATGGATGTACTTGTAGAGCTGTATACATTTGTGCTTTTTTTGGGGAGGGGGGGTTAAGGGAATCCACTTTAATACTGAAAAAGCCAGTGAAAAAAACAAAAAGACAAAGTCTAAGTGTAGGCAAATTAGATAACTGTATTCTGTGCGTAATCATATGCCTGTTTATTTTATAACAGCAACCACTGAACTATGAATAAAATCTTGACAGAAGTTATATATATCTAATATTACATTAATATACATATGTGGGCAAAGAACAGTGACATGTAAAGAATACCCTACCTTATGATATGTTTATGTAATGTCGAAGACAAATAAATAATATTTTTAAGATGGTATATACGAAGACTATCCCTTAGCCACTTTCTATTAAGCTAGCTCTGTTGACAAAATGACCCTCAGCACTATCTGGAAGGAAAAGCAATTACCTTTTCTATGAGCAGATGGAAAGAAAGGTAATCGAATACTGTAGGGCTTGCTGTGCAACCTTCATTCTTGAAACTTGCAAAAGGATACACAAAAAGAAGAAAGCATCTTAACTCTTTTGCATTTAGTTGACAATGCAACAAAGACAGTGCTGACCATTATTACATGCAATAAAAATTTATCTGAATAACTACAAGTGATTGGCAGAATCATTATTATTATTATACAGGATTTATATAGCGCCAACAGTTTGCTCAGCTCTTTACAATATAACGGGAGACAATACAATAACAATACAGTTCAATACAAGAGGGATTTGAGGGCCCTGCTCCTTGGAGCTTACAATCTAGGAGGGAGGGGCTAGTGGTACAAAAGGTAGTAACTGTGGGGGATGGACTGGTTGGAAGAGTAGAAGATTCCAGTATTAACTAAGGGCAGGATAGGCTTCCCTGAAGAGATAGGTTTTCAGAGATCGCCTAAAAGTGAACATGTCAGAAGTAAAAGAGGTTTAAACAATGGTTTGACTACAAGTATTTTCATGTTATTGGTTATTTATTTCCATAAACTGGTAATTTACAAAGGCAAGATAATTATCTGGCAGGTAAGGTTTTTGTAAGGTACTTGGTGAGTAGGCAATTTCTCAAATTGAAAACACTGCTGATGACTTGTGACCAAGGGCTTGATTTCTGCATAGTCAACATAGACTGTGGCCTACGATCAGAGGGCTGCCAAAAGAGGCAGAAACCACCCCCACATCAAGTGGTTGATTGTCAGTAACACATTGCTGAATGTAATATAAGGTTCCTTTTTTCCACTCTGCTTGCCAGACAAATCCGTCTGGGTCCTCATCGCTGTGATTTCTTCACAGTGTGTGTATCTTTGTTAGCTGAAAAGTGTACTGATTAGTGACAGTTCACCTGCTCTGTTTCGGTACAACTAAAACTGAACTAGTTAGCACAGCAGAGGTAGAGTTTTTAGTCTATACTGCCTCTTTCAACCTGTGTGCTTTGTGTGGGTTTGATGCCAGTTTTTGGTAGTATGATTCTAAGGCTAACCAGTCCATTGATGCAAGACGGAAGAGGTGGCAGCAAGGTGGCACATGACATTGGCCTATAGGGATAGAAAGTATAACTTTTTTTTATGAACAACCTTGCAATGTGGTTCCTGGAAAACAAGATCAGCTCTGTATCAGGTTGATTCATAAATGATGGATTGCAACAAATATCATCCAATCTGCCATCTCCAGTTCAATTATTTATTTATTTTCTAAAAATGACTCTAGGCTGTTGAACCAAACACAAACCTGGCTACCCATGTAAGAGGCATGTGAGTGCATAGGCTTTCTTTTGTGATTTTCTTTATGCCATAACACTGGGCTGATTTTTAGGATGGGCAGCATCCCATACAGGAAAAGAACCCCCTTGTGCTAAAGGTTCACTTGAAGGAGGTACAAAAATCCTAGGAATGAGGGCAGCTAAGTTTAATGCTGAACTGAAGACAAAAGGCTAAATAAACTTAATAAAATGTTGCACCCCCTTACTCTAGAGAGGCAAATGATGGCCCCCAGGTAACTCAATTAGCTAGCATTTCAAACCTCAGGGCAAAATCCTTAGTCCGCAAACCTGGAAGGAAAACCAGATGAAGATGGAAGCCCTGTCTGGGTGCCACTGGAGGGTTTCTTTATATATACAAGAGTTTACAACCACTTTAAAAGCGTTTAAAAGGCAAAATAAACCCAAAGTTACAATCTGCAGGAACACTTCTTGTGAGTAAGACAGAAATCTTTTCAAACATTTAGGCCACACACACCATCCCTGATCAGATAACAAGCATTGGATATCAAAAAGCTTCTCCAAATCATTGAAATGGCTTCAAAAACACTTTAAAAATCCACAAAATCATTTATAAAAATCATGCTCCATAACAACCCTCCCAAAAAAATGAACCAAGATATAATCTGTATGGGTTACTTCTCTGAAACGTTTACAAGTATATTAAAAACAACCACAACTAGCATAGTAAGTTACCCACATCATATATCAGGAAAATATCATCTCTCTGAATGACCATAGGTCCAAAAACATGGGAGTTCACAATTATCAGAAAGCCTTCACTGTCCTTAAAACCTACCATCATTCTCCTATCAGTCCTTACATGTTGCAGGAGAAGTTTCCATAGTTTACAGTGACCAGGTACAAGAGGGTGAAGTCCAAATGCATAGATAGAATTACATATGGATACTTAATTTTAATATTTGCCCAGGGTCTCATTTTGTCTAAAATCAACCCTGGACATAGACAGCAGTACAAATCTAAAAGAGGTTCCAACTCTTTCCCAGTCTATAAAAAATTGTTATAATTATACCTTATGGTGTTTTTATGTTTTCATCAACTGAATTTGAAACTGATCACAAGAATGTTATTATACTGTTGTCTTGTTTCTTTCATTCTTGCTGCCATCTGCTACATCAAAGTAAGTCATTAACTACCTGTGTATATGTAATATTTAGTTTGGCATTGAAAACTAAGCAACAGGTCATAATAAAGATAAGGTGCTACAGTCTTTGCTGTCGGCAACATGGGATTGTACCTGAATTTCCAAAAGAAAATCCCCCTTGAAATTCCCGATATTGGCTTTTCTTGTAAAATATCTTTCTACAAAGAATGCTTGCTTGCAAGTAAATTGTATATCTGAAATAGAACATTGTTTTCTTTATTCCTATGGCAATATGTGTTCTGTATATTTAATGGCTAAAAGGTAAATTCCACACAGCAGCAACATTGCAATTTACATAATTTTAGATAATGTGCACATTATTCATCTTTTTTTCTCATAAGTTCCAGAAGTGCATACACAGAAAGAAATAATAAAAGCAGAATAATAAATGTGTATAAGGTGGGAGATGGAAACCATAGGTCTCCAGATCCTTGCTGAAAGGATTTATTGGTACCACACCCCTTATTTTGAGACACTGCAAATAACAACCCTAACCATAAGAAACTAATGGAGTTTTAAAGGTACCATACCATACATTGAAAAAAAAAAAAATCAAAACGTTTTCAACAATTAGCACTTTATTGATAAAAATGAGCTGCCATAATGGTGGAACATGACAAATAGACATATCCCTTAAAAAGCATACTGTGCTTAACTACTATGAACAAGCAATGCTACAGAGTATTACCATTTGCAACTAAAGCAGCAATATGTCCCCAGCTAAACTGACATCTCTTTAGGCTCAGTCCCAAATTCACTTGTATACTGTAGGATTGTAACACTGTGTGAATCTATGTGTTGCACAGGTCTGTGTTAGTGAATCGGTGGAGCACTCTTAAAGACTGACATGTCACTGGTTAGCAGTTGCTCATCACATCTAAGAAGAACAGTCTCCAGGGGTTAACTCCTTGAAGGGATGATGAATGGGGCTCTCTCTCTGACTAGTGTTTCCTGTTGTCAGGTGGTTCACCTGGGATGGTCACATGCCTCCTCTGCGATTTCCAACCAGGGGCGGACTGACCATTTGGAAACTCAGGCACTGCCCGAGGGCCCGGGGTCAGTAGGGGGCCCCATGAGATGCCCCTGGTACCTTTTTCATAGGCTTTTTTGAGTTTGGGCAAAGACACAGGGGCCCCATGATCCCCTATTGCCCGGGGGCCCCATGAGTTGTCAGTCCGCCCCTGTTTCCAACACTCTGACCTCTCTCTCTGCGGTGGGAGATGTTGTTGCTGTTGGTAACTGCTGTCATGGGTGACTGGTACCAATGATCACAGTTGCCGCTGACTTCAACTGCTGTAGATAACCTTTGTCCTTAGCAACCTCTGCTGTTCTGGAAACAGTGTCAGTGTACTTCAACAGTAGGGGCTACAGACTAGCTCCCACATGTCCTCTGTAAAGGCACCCATCGCTCACCTACCCTCCTCCTTGCAAAGCATCCTGGTCCTGTAGTCCTGTGCAGTATAAAGTTACATTGTCTGCCTCTGTGATGAAACTGCAACTCCCACAAACACTCCAGTACTGCTGAGAGCTGAGCCAATCAAACCCTTTCTGACAACATGCAGTCTTAAAAGGGAAACAGTTCTTTAAAAGGGAAACAGCAATGGCCCAGTACACGTGTATGTATGAATCCATAGAGATGCTACTACATCAAAAATAAATGTACTATTAGGTCCAAGCATATAGTAATAATAACAGTAACAAAAGAAGAACAGGGAAAAACACCCTACAATGAATAACATCTCCAGTTATAATTATCCCTATTTAATTCCCGTAGTTTTTTGGAGACAGCCTTCAGTAGGCATTCACTACTGTGTCCCTCCTAAAGCTGTACTCTCTGCACATGCTATCTGCAGCACAGTGAAGATGTCACCACTGCTTTTATAAAGGAATATCTAACTTTGTAAAGTAAATTTGTACAAAATGCATTTATATTCTCTGTTACTATGAAGGAATATATGAAATAATGAAAGATTTTGTGCCTGGAGTTCAGCTTTACGTTTTGAATGAGAACCTTTTTTTTTACTGCTGTGTGCTACAGGTACTGTATGTGTTTTAGTCTGCTTTCCTGTTTACATAATCAATAAAGGCCTATTTTATGTTAGAGAAAAAGCACAATTTCTCTCCTGCTGTTTATGTTTCAACATAGTGCCTTGTATTGTCTAGACAAATTAAACATTAGCCATTTTAATGATCATGTCTAAGCAGTATTGTTTCTCTTCTTTAAAAATCTTTATAGTTGCAGGTTGGGCTGTAAGATAAAAGAGTGTAATAAAGGTTATTGTGGTTGTCACCCAGCAAGAAAACAAAAAGCTGTGATTCAGGGCTCATTCACAGAGGTGCAGAGTGCCATACAGCATGAAGAACAGTTTATCTTTTTTTGGACTAACGAGGGTGACACAAGCAAGCAATGGACGGCACATTCAAGTGCATCAGTTTTGGGCACCATGGCTTTTGTGGTATACAAATGATGGTCTTATATTGGTGGTTTTATCAGCATTATATCAATATGACATTTTGGGATGGTAGGCAGCAGCATAATGAAGAACCACAAAAAATTACACATGAATAGAAATTTGGATACCAATTGGCCATGGCCTTTATTATTGGTTTCATAAATAATGCATCGATTGTTTTAATTTAACAGCCTCTTTAAATACAATAATAACTTTTATTCAAGTAACCAACATAATAGAAACTCAATCACTACTACCTGAGTTGCAAATAGCTCAAATTTCCAAAAATGTATTAGTTGTCTCTCTCTTCGAGATCAAAAGTAACCCACCACTTAACAAGGGAGGAGCTCCACTGGTGATCCCTTTTTCAAGCGACAGGTGACAGACCTGCTGTACAGACCCCGAAACTGGGGGTCAGATGACCTTAATTGACCCATCCTGGTTAACCCCCAGAAATCTAGAAGATTCTGAGGGGGCTTATGACCTCAGCTGACCTACCTTGGTTCCCCCCATTCAATTAAAGTAACGGAGAGCCTTGAAACTTGCACTGCCACCGTCCTATGAGGAAAAGAGGGACCTTAAAACTGGCTTACTCCCCCTTTCCCCTAAATTCTTTTCATATTGGTAGCTTTACAGATTAAGGTAAAGTTTAGTTTAGAGGTTAAGTAAAAGGTGGAGTATATGGGGCGCAACAATTTAATTCCTGCAATGGACTGTAAAAAAAAAAAAAAAACACACCTCTGCATTCTTCAAAAGGTTGGATGAAATTCGTAGATGATGTTTTTCTGATCTTCTGTCAAGATTCGAGGCACCATCGTTGATGAAATAGTTCTTATTACCAAATCTTCCATTAGAATCTGCTGCACTCTTTCCCTGTTCATGTTCAATTCTTCTGCCATCATTTGCACACTCAATCTTAGATCTGAGTGTACAAGGGTTTACACTCTGTCCACATTTATTAATTTGCTGCTTCAGATTCCTGTCACTCGATTTCCACCAACAGAAGTGACTCATCACCATAGTGCTACGCTGCATGCATACTGGGAATTATATTTTCACTGTAAGGGAATTCCTGTATGGCAACTGGCGCATAGAGAAGCTCATGCATGCAACATTGCGCATAGAAATGAGCATGGGCTTGCGCATGCACGTAATAATATGCGCACACGAGTGCTCGCACATGGGAGCGTGCCCACAGTTTCTGGTGCCAGACAGGCTTTTTAAAGGAGGCTCTTACTCTCTGTCAGTGCTGATGGGTCTTCATCTAATTCCCTGTGTCCTGCTGTATCCTGTGTGTATCCGTTACTGACCCAGCTTGCCATTGACCTGCTCTTTGATTCTGTTTATGCTTCTGCTCATCGGTTTCTAATCCTGGCTTCCTCCTGACTTCGTCCCTGTCTGATGTTCTGGTACCTCATCCCCTGCTCGTTGCTGACCCTGGCTATTACTCTGACTACGCTTCCAGCTCCAGTTTAGCTCTACAGTCCTGCTGAGTGCTTGTCCTGGCTATCTATTATATCAGCTCCGGTTGTCATGGTGTGTTCCAGCCTCACGCTTATCAGAAGTTCTGGCAAGACACGTACTCAGATCTTGCAGTTCCAGTGGAGTGCTTCCTTACCGCAGCTGGATGTTCCTGCATCTCCTCTATTCCTGACTGGAAGCCCTGCTTGATATACTGTGGTTACACCTCCAGCCGCAAGTTCTGCAATCAATATCCACAGGCACTCGTGTTTCTCCTGTCCCTCGGCACCATCTGTTCAACCTTCTCGTGCCTGCTCAAATCGTGGCCCGCATATGTGAACCGGGGCTTAATTCTTATGCTGCTAACATTAGAGAATAGATAGGAAGGTATATTATATTTACTTATTTTGGACGTTTTTTTACATTTCTTCAGTTACTTCTTGGTTTCCATGCCTAAGCAAATAATGTCATACATCCCAGGAGTCTTCAGGAAAGGAGGGAGGGTTCTCAGCTCAGCTTATCCCTGAGCTAAGGGCAGATGAATTCCAGGAAGTAAATGATACATGAATCATCTGCCCTTACTCAAGATGGCCACTGGCTAAAATGCTAGGGGTGTTTTTCAAAATGATTTCTCAGCAAAATAAAGCATGAATACATGGATGGGTGGGGAAGTTAGCTTTGAATATTAGAAATAAATGAAATAGCATTTTTGGTTTGTGGTGCTCAGATGCAACGTACAGTATATCCACTTTAAAGTGCCGAATGACCTTTCATCATAATGAAAAAGGCAGGAACACACCAGTGGTTTGTGAGGACGATTTTCTTCCTTCTCCAAGTCTTCATGACAGCAGCAGTGTGTTCCAGTGAACTTCCAGTGAACTGCTAGAGCTGTGATAATATAATCTCTTAATGAAAAGCAACCCATAGATTAATCTTCTGGGTATATGTTTCAGATGCAGGCTTCTCAGATCTGCCTCCCTTGTTTACGTCCATAAGAGTTGAGCAACTGTGGATCAACACAACAAAAGCAGTAATGTGTGGTTTTTTATTATAATTATGGCAAGTCTCACATGTCCTATGAATGGTTTTGCTGCCATTATATTTACTGCCGCTTATAAATTACTTTGAAAAATAAGGAGATAAAGGCTACGCTTTTATAGTACTTCTGACATAGTCAATTACTGCCTCAAACTGAATGCAGAAAATGTATTTGCAATAGTGGCAGAATCTCAGAAACTAATCCTCAAGATTGTGTGTTGAAAGATGTATTGGGGTTGGTTTACTAAAAGCATATAGGCTGTTCACTTTGGGAGGGACTTTTCCATTACAAGTTGAATCCCAGCCTAATACTTACTAGTCTTTAAAAATGTTTCTTCCCCCCCTGCTACCTATGCTGCCTAACCTATGTGAAAAAGATGTGTATACTTACATTTTTTCAGTCTGCTCTGGTCTGGTCACATAATCAGCAGATCTGTGTCAGTGAGCAGCGACTGCAGGGGACAGGAGAGAGCAGTGACAATGGCTGGGCCATGGGAGCCCTATGAGTGATAACATGGCTTCCAGAGTTCCCAGCTGTTGTCAAGTGTTCCCTATTCTCCCATGCAGCCACTGCCAATTAACACAGGGGATAACAGACTTTGTTGGGTGAGTGCTCCGATAAATGCAGAATCCATTTGGTGTATGCAACACTCCCTGATTGATCAATAATCATATATCATATATTTCTTGAAATTATATTGGCTAATTTATATGTCTTAGACTAGGTCACAGGTGTCAGACTGGTGGCCCTCCAGCTGTTGCCAAACTAAAGTCCCATGAGGCATTGCAAGATTGACAGTTACAAGCATGACTCTTAGATTGTAAGCTCCAAGGAGCAGGGCCCTCCTAGTCCTAACCCTCTTGTATTGAACTGTATTGTTGCTGTATTGTCTCCCGTTATATTGTAAAGCACTGAGCAAACTGTTGGCGCTATATAAATCCTGTATAATAATAATGACTCCCAAAGGCAGGGGCATGATGGGACTTGTAGTTTTGCAACAGCTGGAGGGCTGCCAATTTGACACCTCCTGGTCTAGGGGATGTCTTTTTGAAATGTATTGCTTGTAGAACTTTAAACTGGAGAAGAGTTAGTGCATGGGATGCTGCAAAATGCTGCACAGTAAAAGGAGAACACTTTTCTCTAAGTTCCCCCTCCAGGATTCTGCTGAGGACAAGTCAACGGCCAGTACTCTGAGACCTTAGGATAACAGTCTCAGTCCATAGTTACCACTGGC